TAAATCTTGGGACTAAAGGAGAGGCACTGATTCTTCTGTGGGCCAAAAAGGCAACAATTCCAGGGCAGCATAGGCCACTCATCATGTGATTGAAACATCCTAATTCTTGATGACGAAAACACGTTTCCATCCTCTCTGTTTATAAATTAGATTGAATCATTGCAAAACTCTATGATTGCACTAAAGTCACGGCACAGCTACGTGTGATTACATAAAAGATATCAAAAGAATCAAAAAATTGTTGAATATCCAGTCCCCGTGGCCATGCCTTTTCCCTATGAAAATTTGCTAGGGTTGTGAAGTAAACAACAGCTAAGTGGGTTTGGAGACTGAAAATATATATGTGCTTGCCTTATAATAAATCCATTTTAATTGCAACGCTAACTTGAGTTTTTTAGTTTTTTTATGATAAATTATAAAATGATGATAAAAAGGAGATGCCAATTGACCCCTTTTTCTCCATTTCTTTTAAAGTTGTAGTACTCAAGAAAGAATCAGACACAGGTAGCATCAAATAAAGATGAAACAAATAGAGATGACCAGTGATCAAATCCCTACTTTTCTTTCACTGGATCCTATGAACATACAAACGCTGCAAACTAAAGATTCCATAAATTATTGAATAAATTATGAACTGTTTGATCAAAGATTAAATAACAATGTCATAAATTTAGATCAGGCCTGTCACCATTTGCATGCATACGATACCACTTTGTCCACAATTGAAATCATATAGAAAACCTTTATTTTTCTTTTTATGGGATAAAGAAATGACGTTAAAGGGGTGGCACAGTCAAAGACATTGATGCTAGTGTATTAGAGGACTAGAGATTACGAGCATTTTGATTTACTTTTTAAAAATAGTTTTTTTTTTCTGTTTTTAAAAATATAATATAATATAAATTTGCATTATATTTTATTTTTAAAAATAGAAAAATATTTTAAAAAATAAATCAAAACATGCTCTCAATTTAAAGAATTGCATTTAAGCTTAAATCACATATAATTTTATTCGATCATAACTACTCATCATTTAATTCATAAACCTTTTCCTTCAGAAAATATGTTTGCTAAATAATATTTAAATGGCTTCATTGAAATTACATACACACACACACATATTTATAACATAAAGCATATAGTGTAATATAAAGTAAAATAAATTTATTTTCTTTGAACTTTATTAAACCTAATCGCTAACGTGTCATAATAATACTATTAATAATTATTATTATTATTCACCTTTCAAATAACTAAAAATAATTAAGATAATTTTCATAAAATGATCATACCAAATTATTTAAAATTAAATACATTTTTTAAAAGAAATAATATCCATTCACACCAAATTTTAAAGTTTATTTTGCCACTAAAACTTGTCCCTTCGTTCTCTTTAAATGCATTTTAAGGATTAAGATTCAATTACTAAACCTATCACGTGACCTATTCTTTTCCCTTTTCTACTCCCAATTGCAAGTACTCTAATAAATAAAGTCAAACAACCCGTAAGAATTAAAATATATATTTCAAGCAAGTTAAAATAAAAAAAAAAGAATTTCAAGTACACCCATAATAATTATTTTTAACACGTCAATTGAATCACACACTATCCAACAAGGTTAAAATATGATTCTGGATCTTACGTGGAAGTTTAATTTTATTTTTGGTTAAATAATTTTGAATATGTTTAAACAAAAACAATTTTAATAAATTTTCACTTAAGTCAAAAATGTCTGAAAAGAGATTTCATGTATTTTTTTTTTTTTTTTAATTTAAGGGCATTTGAGTTGCCCTTCTTGTTGAGCTTGTCCCTGTAGTAAAGATATTTGTGCTTGTTTCCATAAGTCTTAGAAGGAACACATTTGCACTATGAATCAACAACAACATATTGGAAACCCCACTGAATAGTATCTACTTGTATTCAAATTATCATAGTTGTTCTTTCATTTGTGCGACACAAACTACTATTTTTTCAATTTATTATGTGACTTTATATAGTTTTGTTAGCAGAAACAATCTCACCCCAACACTACTTGAAATGTCATCTTCCTTACATGGACCATCAAAGTCAAAAATTGAGTTTTAAGCAAAGCTTGATGGAATTCCTCTACAAAGAGGACAAGTTGAATTAGACCGCAACCATGTGTCTATGCGGTCAATGTAAAAAGTATGATTGTACATGGGAGGCAATCTCAGTTTATCTTGTTTTAAGAATTTATATAGGTAAAATGTACAATCAAATGGTACTTTTAAATTGAATTACCCATTAGAAACATTTTTTTCTTGAGCATATGTGAAGTGACTTAAACAAAACTTCATTAGTTATTTTTGTTTAAGCAAAATTTAAATGTTTTAAAAAATAAAACTGAACATTTTATTTCGTGTAAATTGAAGATAATCTAGATATGTTAAAATATATCAAATAATTGATTATAATTGTTTTAAAATTGCAAGTGAATATATATGAATACACACCATTCCACCTTACATTCCTTCACAATCATTTCTTTTGTTTCACAATTCAAATGCAATTCTAATATCGTAGCTATTTACTCCTCCAAAGTATAAACACTGCGACGGGGAATAATGTAGTGAGAATGGGATTGACGACGAGTTTCAGAGTGAGTTTAGCAAAAATGGATAACAACTCCACTCAAATAGCGATCCCTAAGTATTCAAACCAAAAGATTTTAATAATGGCAAATGGGTTAGTGTTTAGCTTTAGCAATCTATTTTATAATGATCATTTTCTCCTTTATCGTCTTCTCATGTGTTCATTCTTAATTAAATTACTTAGACAAGTAAAAGAACAAATGATATTGAACCCTTTTAAAGTTTAATGAAATTAAATTTATCTTCCTTAAAAATTTAATTAGTATTACACTTTATATTTCTATCAGGAAAAGTGATTAAAATTAAAAATGTGAATTTAACTTGGAAAACAAGAGACATACCGAGGCTAATTATGTGAAAATTGAAAGGATATGAGCGTAATTTTGTAAATAAAAGCAATTATTAGAGCATGGAGGGAGATATTGCCGTTAAGATTAAGGTGGTGTTGTTTGGCAAGAGACCAGTCAAGTTCATGAGTGAAGACACTTTTTGTCATGTGCTCGTATTATGTTCATATATATATATATATATGTGTGTGTGTTTTCCTCTGTCTTCCATTTGGATTATGCTAGAATAATTGCTCTAACCACAATTCTGTTCCTACTTAATTCTAAATTTCTTTTCTTTATATATACATGACATAATTTATATATGTTTTAAAAATTATATTACATATTAAAAATTATATAAATTGTTTATTAATTTTTAAATTATGTAAAATTTCATATACCTAATATATTTTATAAGAACTTTCAACGTAATAAATAAACTGACAAAATTTAACCTTTATAGAATTTGATCATTTATTTATAATAATTATATGATTAAAGTTTCATTTTTTTTTTATAACAAGTAAAAAACATATCTCACTTGATATTTTGTATAAAAAGTTACGGAATAACACACTAGAGGTAGAGAGAACTTAAGAAACTAAAATGGCGATAAAGCTCTTTGATGGAGAGAGTAATAATCTTGAAATCCAATGCCAACAACTAGCTATGCCCCAACGGGGCAACCAGTTTTGGTGGAAAATAAAAGCTATAAAACTAAAAGAGTAAGGAAAAGACGGATAGGAAGATCCATCTCATGCTCCCCCAGAGTAAAAAAAATAAGGAATCAGTAGAGAGACCTCAAAAGAAAAAAGATTGAATTGCAAAGAAGAAAAGAAAATGAGAGAGATTAAATAGTAAATAAGAGAGGTAAGTGAATATTTGATTTTAATTCAAAGAATGCATCACTTTTCACCCATACAAATAACTTCATCACGTTATATAAATTTTACACTGCTGTACTATATACTTTTATAATCACATTTTATATTTTAACTTCTATATGTTATGGTTATTTGATTTGTTTTCTTAATGTGTTTTATTGATGTGGTAAGTCATTTTTATTATAGTAGGGTAGTGAAGAAGTTTATTAATTCATATTATAACCACCTTGATTAATATATATTGTCTTTTCACGGGAACATAATATTATCAATAGAAATTTTTAAAACTCTAATTTCCCTTTTGTCTGTGATACATTTATGAACATCCATAACTATTCTCAAATTTAGCTCCAATGGTAGTTGGGTTTATTTGAATTATCAGAGTTTTTTTTTAATCTAAACTTTTGTCACAAAAAATAACCTCACTTTCTTCCCCCGATTTGATTTCTATAATTATATTCTAAAATTTATGATGACCAAAATGAAACGATCCATGGCAAACCTTAGGCTGGGTTTTCACTTATCCCGAGAGCAAGGAAAGAAAAAAAAAACGATGAGGATAATTCACCATTAAAGTCAGGTCGTGGCAAAATAACAGACAATTAATTTGGGGTCAATAAAATGGTCAATTAAAAGGTAGCACGGGTGTCTATTCTTGGAAGATCCATATTTTGGGGGTGTGGATTTTAGGACAATACATCGTTTTCATGTTTATATCCTCCTACAAATCCCACGGGTAACTGCCACTTTCAAGATAAAACAATCAAAATGGAGAAACTGCTTAACACCTTTCTGGCATCTACTATCTGCCATCAATATCAAGATTCTCTTCTGCTTTATTTTGGCATTAAACATTAGCACAATCAAATCTGTGCCTCAACTACAGCCTAAGGGCATGCTGGTAATTGCGGCATGTAGTCAGCATTCTTTAGCTTTACTCTACATGATAAAAAAGCAATAGTGGTATACATAAAGAATCTCACAATAATATATAAATAAAATACAAAACAATAAAATGGGAGGCATGCTTGTTTGCTGTTTGATTGCTGAGTTGTGTATAGATAAAAGAAAGGTGATTACTTTTTTTTAAAAAAAATTATTTTAAAAAATTATATTTTTAATTAAGAGAAGATAACTGTTTTAATCCTGGAGGGCCAAGTGATGTAAATTCAAAGACCCAAATCATCAAAAGCATGGAACTGTTAAAGTAGAAAGTAAGAAACACAACCCATGAGGCATGAGCTATCATCCATTCCATTTTTCCTTTTTCGGGTCTCGTGGTGTTCTCAACTTTTCAAATTAAAGAGGGACTATTTACTAAACTCATTATTCCTCCCTGCAACTCTGTTCTCACTGGTTCCCTCGATGGTCAACACTTGAGCTTCTGTTCAATCATTTTTGAGCTGAGACAAAGCATTAGATAAGACATGGGATTTCTGAGGTTTCTCATATGACCAATGTTTGGTGAGTTTTCTGTTTTTGCCGTTTACTAGTTAGTGACTTGTGTCCAGAGAGAGAGAGAGAGAAGGGTCATTTTCTGTGTGCTGATCTGTGGTTAACTTTGATGAGGTCTGGTATAGAACTTGTCGGTTATACTTTTGAAAATGCTCCAACTACTTTTGTCGTGGAAAAAACTTAAATAGAAATTACGTACTTCTGCATAACTTCCTGTCATTTTTGCTTGGGTTTCATTTCAAATCCTTTTTCCCATTTGAGAAAAATGTCAAATTTTCAATACATTGATTGAACATTCCTCATGTTCCATGCAATTTGTGTGAAACTGCAGTGGTGCCGGTTCTTTTGGGGGAATTAGATCAGCTTCAAAAGTTGCACTTGCAGCTTTTCATTTTGCTTATTTTTCATATTTTATGAGAGGGGAAAGGACTGCATGATTCAAGGGAAGAACTGAAATTTCAAAGAGAGAGGGGCAAAGTTTGCATCTGCATACATATTTCTTCTCTTGACTTGCCAATACAACCAATTGGTTGTTACATTGAAAAACTAAGACTCGTCTCTCCACTGCATCATTTTCCCTGTGATGCTATCTAATGTTCCATATTAGCTTGTGAATCCTTGTCACTTGCTAGATATGGGGGATGTTAAGCTTACCCGGGTGGAGCAAGGTCAAACAAAGATTAAAAATGTTCCAATTGCTGTCACCCCTGAAGGATTTTGGTGTTGCCCTTCTCCTGTTGTGTTTCAGAAAAGCCTTAAGGCTCAAAATCCTCTGAATAAGCCCAAACCCTCTTCACCACCACCAAGGACTAGTTCCCAGAAAAAGCCAGTTTCAGTGAGTGAGAGAAAATCAGTGATTGCCCCATCAAGATTGGTGCTTTCAGATGAATGTAATGATCCAGAAAGACCTCCAGCTAGCACATCTGTGCCTACACAGAGAGCACCCAGAGCCAAAATTGAATCTTTGCCCAAAAAGGTTGCTATTGAGTTTGGTGAACCTGGAACTTGTGATGTGAAGGTGCTTCTTCTGGGAAAGCAGGGATTTTGTGTGAAGTTAAGTGTGCACAGAGATGTTTTAACAGAGAAGAGTAGTTTCTTTGCTGATAAACTTTGTGAACAATCTGGTTTGTCATGTCTCCAAATTGATGATTGTGAGGATGTTGAAATATATGTTGAAACTGTTGGGCTTATGTACTGCAAAGAAATGAAACAGCGGCTGATGAAGCAAAGTGTTTCTCGGATTCTTCGGATACTCAAGGTAATTTGCTTACTCTGTCATGCTTTGCTGTTCCTCATCTGCTTTGACTGCTATTGCTCGAATTGAACTCTGTTGTATAAGGCATTTCTGAGGGGAAGAAATATGTTATTTGCTATTACCTTTTGTTCTTACTTCTTAGTGATTTATAATTTTCTGATTATTTTTTTGGTGCAGTTTGTTTGTCTGAAATACTACACTTCCTTGGAGGCTTATATTTATATCTTCACAACGGAATATTTAAAGTTTGTCATTAATTATATCCCTTTTCAAGTTAATTCATGCTCGTCTTTTTAGCCTGGTTTTTGGTTCACCAATATATAATTTCACATAGAGGATTCTTTTTGTTAGGGGTACATTGGAAATGAAGTAATTAAAATGTGCTGTGAATGTGCACTATAGTGATGATGATAAAACAATCAATGAGTCATAGTTGTAAAATTATTATGGTTGTGTACATTGTAACTTTTGCCAAGTATATATAAATAAATAGCCTGAAATGTGTAATTGTTCACTAATATACTATTGACACGGCAAGATCAAAAGTTGAGTTGAAGAGTAGAATGTGATTGCTGTGAATTGCAGTGATGATCATGATATAATCATGGTGTCACACGGATTTTTCCCCTCTTAAAAAATAGTCAGATTACCTAGTAGGATATAGTCCATATTCCCGGATTCCTGTAAGATCATAGTATTTTATCATGGGTCAAGTTCTTACCTGTTCTCTATTAGGCTTCATTATGAAAGGTGTTGTCTCCATTTCAAATCTTTCTCCCCCCTGTTTCACCATTTTATCCTTTGCTAGGAATGAACATTGAATATTGATTGATGAAACACCAGTGTGTCGTGTGCATTATTAATTTATTTTCTTTGCTGGGAATTTGATATTTTGATATGGGTGGAGTTTTTATTATCTGCATATCCATAGCTTTTCTCTGTCTGTTTAATGATTAATCTACTATTAGCATTCCTTGGCAGTAGATATTTGGGGAGATATTTAAAAAGTTCTTGATATAACCTTAAAGAAACTATTTTGCAGGTTGCAGAATTCCTTGGCTTCAATTCATGTATCCAATCATGTCTGGAGTACCTGGAGGCAGTCCCTTGGAATGGAGAAGAAGAAGAAAAGGTGATCTCAACTGTACTACAACTCCAAGGAGAAGGAATTGGGGTCAATCCAGTGCTAAAACGAGTTTCTTCTGATATTTCTAATGCCCCAAAAGATACTCTCTCCCACATTGTTGAACTTGTTCTCAAAAGCAACGAGGAGAAAGGTCGCCGAGAGATGAAATCAGTTGTTCTAAAGCTCCTTAGGGAGAATAACAGTCTTCCAAACACTGCAGGTTCAGCTGACATCTGTAATGACACAATTTACAGATCATGCCGTAGCTGCTTGGATTCTTTATTGTCTTTGTTCGACCAGGCTGCAGAACCAGACTTTGCAAACTCACCTAGTGATAACAGAGAACCTATAGTAAAACGCATAGCTCTTGAAGCTGACAACTTGTCATGGTTGCTTGAGATTTTAGTTGACAAACAAGCTGCCGATGAGTTTGCGCTGATGTGGGCAAACCAACAGGAATTGGCTGCCCTACACGGAAAGCTTCCTATTGTATTCCGCTATCATGTTAGCTGCATTTCAGGAAGACTATATGTTGGCATTGGAAGAGGTGAGTTGTTGCCATCGAAAAACACGCGCCAGTTGCTGTTGAACACATGGCTGCAACCTCTAATCAATGACTACAACTGGTTACAGCACGGGTGCAGGTCATTTGATAGGAAACTTGTTGAGGAAGGAATTGGAAGGACAATTCTCACTTTGCCTTTGGAGGATCAACAGAGTATTTTGCTTTCTTGGGTTGGAAGTTTCTTGAAAACTGGCGATGGCTGTCCCAATCTTCAAAGAGCTTTTGAGGTGTGGTGGAGGAGAACTTTCGTTAGACCATATGTGGAAGGCCAAGGTAATAATGCCAAGCCAGATAGTTGAACGTTGTCAAAGTTGCATATGATGTGTTCATAAATATATCTTAAAATGGTTTTGGATTGGAGTTTCTCTCTTGAGTTAGTTGACTACTCTAAGAAATTATAAATTATATGTTTATTTGCGAATATGGTTTACTTCAGCTGCTAACTAGTTTTGAGACCTGTATATATATGGCCATTTCATGGGGGTGCTGAGGAAAATTGACACCATGCATACAAATCACTCATTGAATTGTAAGTAATTGCTTAATATATAAGCTTTTCGGAGGGCTTGAATGGAAATCAGTTCTTTCGTTATAAAGAAGTGGTTTAATGATATCTTTATTGAATTAAAGTGAACTATTCATGGCCCACATCGAAATATTTGAAGAGACAAATATATTATAAGTTGGAGAATTTATATTATGATTACTTGTGATTGAATACCTCTTATATAAGCTTAGCTAATAAAAGGGAAAAGTTCTTTCTATTTACATATGAACCATATATTAAATTAACTAACATTTATATTAAATACATGAAACAGTAGCTTAACTAATAAAAGGAAAAAGTGTATATTAATAAACCAATTGGGTACAACGAAAATTAATCGGTACTAATATGGATGAAATATCATGATGGTATATGATCTCAAACTGAATGAATGAAACAAAACAACTGAATTTGTGGAAATGATTGAAGATGCAATGACCCTTAACCAAAAGAAAATTGATTAGGAAGAAGGGAACAATATCATAGAGAAGTAGAGAGAATATTCAAAGAAAAGCATACCACACATATAATGAGCTTATGGCAAATAGTCCTTCCATAAAACGTTTTTTCTCTTTTATCTCACGTTTTTACCTTTTTTTTTTTTTTGGTTCCTCTGATTTGGTTGTGTGCCACCTAACTCTTTGGCATAACTATCTTTCCTTCTAATTCCAACTTAACAATTCCCTTTAATTCCACATTTTCTAGATTCCTACTTACATGTTACAATACATCACAATCTAATGCGTATCTAATTTTTGTTGTTTGATTATTCTCGTTTGAATAGAATAATTTAATTGCATTCTTTATGTTAAATATCTTGCCAATTGATATTTTCTCCATATTTCCAAGGAAACATTCATAGTTCAAACACATGCTTTTCATCTAATTGTGTTTTAGATGTTTAATAAAAAGAATATTGAATGCATCTAAGATGCTTTTCCAAGTTCTAACAGTTTAATCCTTGAATTTGCCTCTTCGTTATTAATTATAAATTTATAATTTAAAAAGTTAAAACTCTATTATTACTGATTTTGTAATAAGTGTGTTTAGAATTTTATTTTTTTTAAATATTTTATTTTTATTTCTTATTTTCTCAGATTGTAATGAAAATGTTTGTCTAGAGAAATTTCATCAAATTTACTTCTTTTTTTCTGTTTTTAACAATTTATATATGAAAGACTAAGATAACATTTCAGTACAGTTTTTTTAAAATGAAACAAGATAAAAAAAAAAAAAGCAGTTTTTAGTAGTTATTTATTAAAATTTAAAATAGAAATAACTTTTTAATGCTTAATTGGTTTAAAAGAATCTTCCTTTCCTTACATATCTTCCCCTTCTCTCTCTCCATTGTTGCTGGAGTTGGGTCAAGACCATTTCTTTGGTCGAGGATAAAGATCAAATCCCAAACAACCCAAAAAGCCGAAACAAAACAAAACAGAGCCTGGTACAAAAGAAAACGCGGGTAAGTCGCTTTTTTTTGGTACAATGAAACACATGGACCAAATCAAAAAAGAAATAATGAAACACAGAGAATCTAAACAAAAACGGTGGCTTGGTTGTGATTCTCAGATGGGCTTATTCTACTCGACCAAAAGCAAACGGGCTTATTAACCACAATACATAGACATATAATGATATTGACAAAAAAAAGATACATATAGATGTACAAACTGCATAATCTTATAATCAAATATATAATAATACATTTGATATCTATGTACGCACCTTTATTTTTTTAAAGTCAGACAGAGAAGCACGTGTAGATTCATTATATTGATTCCTCTAAATATGATCAACAAAATAAAAGCTTTTTAATCAATAATTAAAAAAAGTAGAATCAACTGTTTTCAGCCAGCTATTTATTAAATTGTGAGATGTGAATCAGGGAGTATGCAAGTTTAATTTCCTAGAAATTTTTTCTTATCCCCTCTCCCTCGCCTCCTTTACAAATTCTTGTAAAAACGCACACACGCACACACACACACACACACGTGTGTGGGGTCCAAGACTAGGTGGTCCTTGTGATATTTTACGGGATGCATTTTATTTGGAAATTTTCTAAATGTTATATACCAATGGATGGGTTATTTTCTTTTTCTTTTAACATTAGAAACACATTATACTGTAGCAAGTAATGTTTCACAATTCTTTAATGAATATCTGTACCTATTTGATGGGATTGTTAGTAGCACTTTTAGTATGAATGCTTTATCGGATTAGGTGTGGGGTTGTTGTTTGGTCTACAAGATTTATTATATTCTTAATTTGCGTATATTAGTAAGAATCATATGTACAAATGACTTTTTTCATTGTACAGGTAAGAAGATTGGTTGGATCAGCACAGATTATAAGCTAATATATTTAGTATTACATGCAACTTTCTTGGTTTAATTTCTTTCAGCAGTGAAGGGAAACCGCATTCTATCATGGTGTGTATGATTCCATTTAAAAATTGTTAAAGAAGCATAATCTAGCAAAGTAGCATGATAATTGATGATATATACAAAGGACTTTGTTCAGCCATGGACTTGAATGCTTAGGTGGTCCTGACCTGATCACTCCCGATAAGTGATGATTGCTAGATAAATGTGCGCTTTGTAAATACCCACTGCCAAGTTGTTTGCAGGCCCTTTAGTCCCAACCTTATCCTCCGTTAGCGTCGCTGCTTTTTCGCATTCATTATGATCATTAATTTTTGAGAATTTAGTTTAATATAAAAAAATATCCTGCAATATCTAGTATTCATTTGAATTTATAGTAGTTGATGATATGATACGCTAGTACTTCACCATGAATGCAAAAGTTTAAGTTCAAAATCTACCATTAAAAGATACGCTCTATTAAAGAATTGAAAAACACATTATAAAAACTTCAAAAAATATAGCTCAAGACCCAATTGGTTTTTTTAAAAGAAACTTTAATTTGCGTCTATGTGAATGAAATAACATACATCACTACCATCAATCTGTTTCAAGGGATGATAAAAAAAAAGATATTACTATCTACTACATGTGTATAAAAATCAAACCTCGGTGAGTATCATCACATGTATCATATTTCCCGCCCGTACACCATAAAAAAATATAATCTTGAACTTTTCTTACATAATTTTTTCATTCAAAAGATAAGAAAGCACTGGCAGATTTTTCTGATTAGCATGGACCACGAACTAATATTTATATTGAATTGGGAGAAGGCGTGAGGAGTGAGCTCTGAAGATGGGCCATGTAACACAAAGAAGGGTTCTATAGCTTTATAAAAATTATTATATGATTACGTAGCTAGCCATGGACAGAGCAGTGACCCAAAAAGCAGCAATTCCTCTGTAGCGTGTCTCCCTATCACAATTGGCATTGGTAGCACCACATGGGCTGATTATACCATAGTCTATCAAACCCACATAAGCCTTTCTCTTCACTTCCATCAATTTTAGTTGCATAAATTTTTCAATGGGTCACAGATGGGCCCGGGCCCAAGACTGAATGAATTCTAATCATCAATCAATGTCAATACTTAATGAATGATAATTACAAGAATGTGCTAACAAGTGTCTTACTGATTAGGAATTAAAATGCATTAAAAATAAAGTTAAAACATTGATATTTTAGAAACTTAAAAAATATCCAATATGTTACTCCATAAACAGTTCAAAATATTAAATGATTCAATATACATCTGCCTCATGTCATCTCCATATAAGAATTTTCTTTTGGGACCCATCCATTGGGATCCGGCGGGTGACGGATACCTGTTCTTTCTGTTCTGTCACATTGCAAATGGTGGGCCCAGCCCAATTTGCTGTCATCTGAGCACTTCCTTCCTGCAAAATGCTCATTGGTGATGGCAACAGTGGGCTCCTTCATTAAATGGATTGGAATTGAAGGCCCTCGTATCAATTTTTCGTCAGCTTCTTCCTCTATTCAATGTGCAAGTTATGTTGCAACCATACAAGACAAACAAACAATTTTAGGGTGGGGATTCCCTCCATCATCGACTAGGTTGTAGCCACCCTATTCCATTGTCTCTCTTCCTGTTAAATGTTAATGAATTGTCTCGCCAGAGGACCCCACTTCCTCCCCTATTGTTAATGTTAATGAATCCACAATTTTATCTTCACAACGTTATCAAAACATTTTACTCGCACATTAATTTTTTGTTGGTTATTACTTAGCATTCGAATCTTTAATGTTAGCTAGAGTCAAAACAAATTATCTTGTAAAGTAGGTAGAACTCTGAAATTAAATTAAGAAGAATGGTTGAAAATTCAATTTATTTAATAATCTAATCAATAAAAAGAAACGTATTATTGGTTCCAATTAGTATCTCCAATGACGATGTAACTATCCGTAACGCAGTTTTAGCTGGCTTCCCTATTCAATTAAAGGACAACCGGAAAAAAGTACGCAATTTCAGTGTAGCAGAGTTCATGCAGTTATCCATTGTTGGACCAAGACTATGTTTAAGTTCCAAACTATTTATATTTTTGGTAAGATACTTATACCATAAGGCCTTATGATTTCCTAATTAATGTATAAACAATATTTACTATGGTGAGTATGGTCCATTGATCAGAAACCTGTACCCTTGTTCTTGAACACCATCAATTAAGGTGGTGTTTTGAAACGCTTTTTTTTCAAAATTATTTATTTTCATGAATTGAAGCAATCCAAAGATACACTACTGAATCTTTCAGCTAATCTTTAAGTTTTACTTCGGAGTTTTTGAAGCCAAATATTAACGACAGCGACATTGCTGTAAAATAAGTAAATATTGTTAAAACCTGAAAAAGAATCTTTCATTCCTTCAAATTTGTGTTTTTATAGTGGCAGCTGCATGTGTAACTATCTAGCTAACTACTTCCACATCTTAACGTAAATCCCAAAACTTATATTAAAAAAAAACTCGTGTGAAATCACATATAGTTGAATATATTCAAAAGGCAATCTTGATCGTTGCTGCGAAACAACCTTGAAAAAATCAATTGGATGTGGAGAAGGCTCTCTTTCGGTTAGTAATATGTGGTGTTTCTCAAACAACAAGAAATATATTAGGTGAGAAGTGCTTGTTGCTTTGCAAGTTCTTGTTTTGGTTTTCACGGAATAAACGAGTGGCTTTTGTTTTACATACCACAACAAATTCCAGTTGATCTATTCTACCCATATTAATTACATATAACAGAAACGGAATTGACAAGCTTGTAGGTGTCCAGAAATCATCTAAACACGTCCTGATCTAGAAATGTAGTACAATTTCAACTTTCAAGGACGTACTGAAATTTGGTTTTTCCTTCTGGATAAGCAACGAATGCTTCGTGTATGAATTTTAGGAAAATGAGCAGCAACGCATAATTATAATTTGGTTGATACTACTTTCATTTTTGTTTTCATAGGCAAGTTAAAAATATTTTTACAAACATCATTGTCTAGTATGACTTAATCTTTTGCATAACTATTCTCAGCTATACAAATAACCTATATAGAATATGCTTTTTATTCAAGTGTTTATATTATATATACATCTTATACCCAACCACTCATCTATTATTACACCTATTTTAAAGTATGAATTACATTCAGTTACAATGTCAATTTTCTCCTTCCCTCTAGTTCTTAGCCGTTACAGACCGAAATTAAGTTCTTAATATATGACATGTAACAAGATCCATATTAGTCTAAACAAATAATAATTTTATTGGTAAATTAATCAATGGCCTTAAGACTTTAGAAAACGATGGAAGTCTTTTCCTTTCGTATACGACATGAAAATATCACACTATATTAAATAGAAGTTAACTGCAGTTTTATGTTCATCCTACCTATAAAAAGAAAAAAAAAAAAAAAAAGGAAACACGAGGATTGGCTCTATACTTCTATATTTTACATTTTAGAAATCATTTTCAATCACCGTTTGAAGTTTAAATGACTTTGCCAAAGAGGGGCACTTTGTCGGCTTTTCAATTACAAAGACACCATATTTTGCATTCGACTTTAAATTCCCTTATTGGTAGATTTTATGTGGTCCCATTGTAAATTTCATTAAGGTTCATAACAAATATGCATGTTTTTCTCAACAGGCATGCTTGGGATAACCTATGATTCATTACAATAAATTTTAGAAACATTCATGACAATAATTAGAAGGGTATGTAAGTGGACAATATGTAATGTAAGACTATCCATTCGACACTATATAAAAACTATGCGCACCAACGTTGTTGTAGAGTCTGGATGGGTGTCTCTTGGCAGCACTGAGGGTTGAGGAGTGGTGTGAAGAATAAGTAAATGCTCAAGTGGAATTGAATTTGGACAGTAAGAAATAACCACATCTTTCATGAAAGGAACGAGTGTGTTGACTTTCAAGGCAACAAGAATTGTTCGTAACAGTCTAGGATGATAATTCTAGAGTCACATCCTTTAAATATTTATAAGTTATTAATGCTGTAATTTGATTCTATGGGAGTCTCTCTACCCCCACAGTTCTTGGTGTATCATCGATCTTTGTATTCGGATAATAGCTCGGTTTATTTACCCAAGAAACAAAAAATAAAAAATCAACACTTGTATCATGACAGTGGAAGGCTTAAAATTGCGCGAACTTAAAATGAAAAAAAAGGAACACTTTATTCCGGTTATTGACTAGATCAAGTCCTATCAAAACTAAACTACAAACCTTAAATAATCTAAGTACATATATGGGAAACAAAAAAAAAATAATGGAAAACAATCTACTATACAGTTATACAACAGATACCATACGCTATAGCTAGCTAGCTAACTTAAGACTACGTTTTTCAAATCGTATTATGACCTTTTTTTTCCTGTCCATCCACAATGCAAATAAGACGGAGGAATATCAAGATGGTATTAAAGGGGAAAAAATGTTTTCTTTTGATGATGATATAATATGATAAAGCATCTTCCTATATATTATTTATATTATTATGTGAAGTACTATATGAAATTAAGTTTAAATGGCTCCAAAGTCTCTAACAGAGAAAGGGGTTTTCTCGGGCATGTTCCCGGCGTGGCGTAGCCCTAGGGTGAGTGACACGTCACCGGGGGTGGTCCCAAATCTAATGAGAGTGGATCCAATGTCAGCACTTGCAGAGGCGGTCCCATAATCTGCTGTAACCAAGCGACACGTGTCATCACTGGCAATTGATCTGTGTGGTGGCAGGTCTGAGTCGAAGCACTGAGACACGGGTGGCGCCACCTCAGAGGCGGTGGCGTTGATGGTGGTGGTTGTAGTGGTGGAGGTGGTGGACTGTTTTGCTTTGTTTTCCGAGAAACCTTGCCTATTGATTGCGACAAGTGAAGGGTCGCTTTCAGTGGCATTGATATCGGATCTTTTGCCTGTTGGTTTTGTTGTTGTTGTCGTTGTTGTTGGTGGTGGTGGCGCTGTTGCTGTTGATGTTGTAGCTGCTGCTGCTGCGGTTGGAGTTTGTGCTAGGTGGCCACTATTGCTGTTGCTCTCGTTCTTTTCTCTCTCTTCTGCACTCTCTGCTTCTTTAAGTTCTTGTTGGTACATCTCTTCCACCATGGGTTTCCACAACCGAACCCTGGCATTAATGAACCAGTTTGATACCTGAAACAAACACGTTCCGTCCATTCAACTCTATTATACACGGATGACATTTCATGATTTTATAATGAATAGTATATGCTAGCATTTGATACATTAAATAAATTATATATATAAATGTATACGTACATTGGAGAAAGGATTAACTGATTTAGATTAGCGGTAAATAATGTACACAAGTTGACCTAAATTATTAATATTTGAGTTTTCACCCAAGTATATAATTCCCCATCAATCATTTACTCAATAATACTATTAGCACAAGCGAAAAAGGACACAGAAGAGCTTCCATTCTGGCTTATTGTTGTTTGTCCCTCTGTGCTAAAGGGTGATTAGGCACCGAGGTATCTTCTCTGTGGTGTGATACACAAAGGACAGTGAAGTGACAGATTTAAAATGAATAATACTCCAAAAGAAACTATTCATCTGTATGATCTTATATGAGTCCAGTCCTTCCCCGTATCACTGACCAATATAGGGGGTAGGCATACATGTAAGGCACATGAAATTAACAGGCCTATTTCGTTTGGGAAAAAATAATTTGACGTGCTGCTGAGGTGTATATAACTCTTGAAAAAAGATAAATAAGAAAAGAAAAAAATAGTAATAATATAACAATAAAAAAAGAAATAGATAAAAGTGTAAAACAAATGTACAAGAGTGAGGATTGGTTTTTACATACGGGGAGAATTTTAAAAAAAAAAAAAAAGATGTAGAAGAAAAGGAAATGGAGAGAAGATTAAAATGAAAAAAATTAATTTTAGTTAATATATTTTAGTTGGGAAGAAAGGAAAGAAAAATGTAAATATATATTATATCACTTTTTATATCCTCTTGATATAATAGTTGATAACTAGGTAAGTGAATAAATATGTCATTATAATAATTTTTCTCTACCTACTTGTTATTTGAAAAGAGAAGTTTTTAATTGTACATCTTTTCTTTCTTTATTTTCTCTCCCTGACTAAGTAATAAAAAACATATTTTTCCTTTCTACTTCCCTCCACCAATTTTCTTTCTAATCATTTTCCCTTTAACCAAACAATAGTTTATATATAATTACATATTATATTATATAGAACATGTAACGAAGCTTTTGGATTTTGGTTTATCTGGAAGAAAAAATAAGGATTAGGATGAGGCAGGAACACAAAAATAATTAAGGAAAATAATCAATGATACACTACTATATAAATATCCTTAATTTGGGGAGAGGGACAAAGTTCTGTGCTGCATTATGTCGCTGATAGGTGTATGTGTGCACAAAAAGAAGGCATTTATGATTAATATGAAACGTGCAAAATTCAAGAATAGCGTTTATCTTGTGTGCATTATTCTAATCACGTATATGCAAGTAATTAGCAAAAGAAAGAAACTGATAAAATAACGAACTAGAACATGGAGTTGCATGAATAACGTATATGGCATTAGCAGAAAAGATTGAAGGCACTAACATCTCCAAAGCACACATTTATTCCCAATATTTATGGTTCCTATTGTGTAGTTGGGCGAAGCCATTTGATATGAGAGAGAAAAAGGAGTAACTGGGAGACTCAGCTCGATTGAAAACAACAAACTTTCATGTCTCATTGCTTCTGTACTTACCTCTGCTCATTTAATTTCAGAATTAATTATGTCGTGAAGTAAAAGATTCCAAAGTAGAAAACTAAATTACACAAAAAATATATATTTCTTTCAATAGGAGAAAATTAATTTTTTTAGGCCAGGAAAAAATTAACAAAAAATAGGTATTAAAACACAATAAAACCCGCATTGCCTCTTTGAGAAAGAAAAAACCAGAGAAACAAACCCCAAAAACATGTAAGTTGCATCTGAACACACTGCTGGTCCCTTTTCTTTTCCATTCATGGGTTTCTTTTTTTCTTTTCTAGTTAGTCTTGTTAATGTGGACCATGCATCTAATTAATTAATCAAAGTGGCCTGGCTAATACTCCACTTGTTTCACTTTCTCTCCTATTATATATGAAGTATCAATTGAATTAACGGCTGTTACTGTATAGTGGAAAGCTAAGAGTGGAGGGAACGAACCTGATTTCGCGATAGCCCGGTCTGTCGTGCCAACAGATGCTTATCTGCATCGCTTGGATACCTGAGAAAGAGACCAGAAAATGACATCAAAGTCCTTGCCTTAACCGTATAAAGGGTCACCGAGCTTTCTGTACCCCTAGCTGAGTTTGAAACCTTTCTTTCTTACCCTTCATGGGCGTGAGAATCTAAGAGAAAGAAAGATCTATATCCTAGCTGCCATAGCAGCAGTAAAGTGGATCACTGTACACACTGACCGCTGTCTCTACTTTATCCCCACCTTAATCAGTTAATCTAATTAGGTGTTTTTGTTAATGCCTTTGTGTTTTTTTTCAAATTCAGATATTTTAATAGATCGGAGAAAAGATACCAATAAATTCATTGTATTGTAGTTAAAGCAGCGATGCCTATATCTATCTTTCCACCTTTTTGCTGCCGCGAGACAACATCCAAGGACACTGCAATATTACTGCATTACTGTTCCTCTAAACGATCATACGTATACGGCACATAAATAATGGCTCTTAGATTCTCTCTTTCCTTCTGCCACCCCCTTCCCTTTCTCTGTCTCTTTATTTCTTAATAATCAGAAGCCCTGCTGCTTTTTTTCTAGTTAATGATCACAGTATCTTTCCTATCGTCCCTTATCCTTTATATATAATTCAGTAACCCCTCAAACATCATTAAGATCGATTAACCCCATATCTTTATTAATTAGTTCTATGCGTACATAATAACTTATATTATTTTGGAAAATGATATATTTTCAACTCAATTTTGATTTATTTTATATTAATTACCTTCTTTAAAAATTGCGAGTTAATAAGTGTTACTTTTTATGACAAGAGAAGGGTAATTATATATTTAAACTTACTTTCTTTTGGTGTCTTTTTTTTTTCTTTTTTATTGCATCATCTTTTATATCTCTCCTTTTTTCACCTAAATCACATTCCATTTTAGGGTGTAAACATGACATTTTTGGTTCAAGCAATTATCTAAAATAATAATTTAAGAATAATTATGATAAAAATATTACGTAAATATGGATGATTCTCCTGTTATATTGGTTTAAGTAACTAATAATTATGATGGAGAGAGAGAGAGAGAGAGAGAGAGAGAGGCAAAAGCAGTAACGTACGGGTGGAGAAAATGCTCGAAAAGCCAGGCTCTTAAAATGTTGACAGATCGTTCAGGCAAGCCTCTCTGTGGTCTCCAAGCTTCTTGTTCCATCATACCCATCTGGTGGAAGGCTCTCTGCTGTCTTAGGCTTTGTTCAAGCATCTTAAGCCTTGGGGTCTCTCCCTTGGTCAAACCTGAGGTTCCTGCACCATCTTTCTCTCCTAGTAGCTCACAACTGTGCTTCAGCTGCGCTGTTATTGCATCCTTCAGACACCGGAAATGCCTAGACATTGCTTTTTGCGCCAGTGCCGTGTATGGAACAGCCGCACCAAACCCCATCATCAGGTCAAATGAGTTCACTACCATTTGCATTTGTTCGCAGTAGTGGTTGTATCTCCTGTCCACCTGAAAAATCCGTACAAACTTTATTTACATCGACAACTTGGTACACGAATGAATCATGATATCTAGGATAATCACTTATAGCCTTATAATGTTGAAAGAACCAATTAAAAAAAGAGAGGAAAAACTAGAAGATACGGTGCATGCATGTTCTCGTTTTCTTATCCATTGTGCGGTTTGTGAAAAGATACTTGAACTAACTTAGCATTAATAAAGTAGAGAAGATTACATGTCAAATTAATGTGCATAGTTATTAGTTAGATTTACGGCCTCCAAACCTTGCAAACAGTGAAAGACGAACAAATACGTTACATGTTTGTTTATGATTTTTAAATGGATGGATTAGGCGGAACAGAAAGAAATTTTCTAATTAAGTCTTTGAAATTGGTTTGTTAATCTATATTCTGATCAATAAAATAAAATAAAAACGCTAAGGAGATTAACAAATCTGTGATTCCAAGGGATGCATTAAAATATTAATTGTTAACGGAGAGTGAGAATATCCTGGTGTTTCTTTTCCGAAATCTTCACCAATTACTGGGTTGTGCGAGTAAATAAATTTTTTAAAGAAAAGAAAAGACTGAATTTCCTATATAGAAAAGGAAAAAATAAAAGACCCAGTGGATCCCTTTCCGGTCAACTGAGATATGATAACAAAGTCCTTCACTGCAATATTTCCATGATAGGTGTGGATCCGTAAGGTGGAAGTGGCATTGATAACAACTAGGTACGTAATAGATATGGTGAGTGAGTGAGTGAGCGCCTTTCTTCCTTCTACTGGGGTCTATCTCACTAATGAGAAGGAACGTCGCTTCTTGATGGACGTATTCTCCTAATACTTAGTCTCATGGTTTTCACCAAACTAAGAAATCCAATTAAAATAATATAAAACCATCCCACCAATCAAATAGTAGGATTAAAAAAAGTGGTTTCTTTATCAAAATTAAAATAAGGAACAATTACCTACCAACTGATCCTATGCAATGGAACCCTATTATACCACCAGCCGGCTTTTTCCTTTCCAAGTTTTCAATTAAAAAAATAATAATTGAAGATACCGGCCGGAGAACTGTGTGTTTTATTATCCTTGTTGTTAATTTGAAAGACAAATCGTGCACTATTGATTAATGGACTAAATTAAACAAATAAGAAGAAAAAGATATTGGGAGACCTTGACTCTTGATGGAGGAGAGAGGGTGAGAGTAGAACAGAAACAAAGAGAGAGAGAGAGGGAGAGAATACAATACATGCCTCGTCAAGCATTGATAGAAGTTTGACCTTCCTTCTCTGATGCTCAATCCTATCAGCTGCTGACAAAGGAGGAGGAGGAGGAGCATCTTTTGATGAAGACGAAGAAGCAGCACCGCCCCCAGGATTTGAATTAGGGTTTGAATTTTGCCTATTGAACTTGTTCTTCTTAAACTGACCCCTCCCAACACTGCAAAACTCTTCGAGCAACTCTTGTGCAGCCTTCACATACTTGGAATTTCTGAGAACATTGACTACACCTAACGACGATGAGCCGAACCCAACGTGTCCCTGGTGGTGGTTGTTGTGTGCTATTGCCCCTTGCAAATGGTGGTTATTATTCTTGTACTGAAACTGAGCCGCGGAAGAAGAAGAAGAGGGACCTTGTTGATGATTATAATACAGAAAACCACTATCCCCCATCCTCAATTCCTCCGCTTTCGCCGCTTCCAACGAAGAAGACAACGACAACGAAAGACCTTGCCCTTCCACAACACCTCCTTCTTGATGAGCACTGTCAGGAACCCAAGTGAATTGACCAAAAGACCCTCCCGGTGCCGAACCGGTGAACCCTTGAAGCGAATTAGAAGAAGGGTTGGGAAGCAACATGTGAAGCGTTGAGGAAGGAGGAGCGTGATTCTGGGGAGGAGAAGGTGACCTCGTTTGAGGGTTCATCAGGAAAAGCTGCATGGCAGCTGCTGACTCAGCATTAATGCTTGAAATCTGGTTCTGAACCAAACCTTCTCGGCTATGCGCACCGTTTTGGTTCTTCGAATCTCCCAACCCACTCATCATATTCATTACCCCTAGTTGCCGGTTTCCGTACCACTCTCCCGGTTGCCTCGCCGCTCGAAACGACGCCGTCACCGGCTGCTGCTGTTCCAACAATTCGCCGCCGGCGGGAGGAAAATTAAACATCTCCGACAACATCCCGGCGCTTTCGTACACCGGAATCCCTCCCGGTTCTTCTTCCTCTATCCCCACCAATGGCGGCGGCGCTGCTGCCTCGAACCTCGCTTTCTCCCTCCGGATCTGCTGCTGCGGACCTACCGTCGATGATCTCTCGAACCCATTCGAGAAGCTGAAGATTCCTTGTTGATAATCTTGGGACATAGAATTCGAAGAATCGTGTTTGTTTGAGTGTGAGAGAATGGACGAAAGTGGCGGTGTTGCTATTCCCATGTTAAAATCATCATCACCTTCATCTCTTTCAGATTCTCCTCCACTAGCAACCTCACCTTATTATCACCACTGTCCAATACTAGAATTAGATATAGAAAAAAAGAGAAACATGGATATATTATACTGTGCAGAGTGAAAGATCAATTGAAAGAGAGAGAGAATAAATAAACAGGGTGGGTATAGGCCCCTCTCCTTTCTTCTCACCCGAGTGTTAAATTTTGATTTTTATCATTTTCAGCTTTGCTCACATCTCATATATATCATGGTGTCTATATATATATATATATGCACACATATATGTACCTCTTAGAGTTGCAGGGTATGAAAGGATGTGAAGCTCTCAGACATCGTTTTCCTTTCTGTGGTTTTGATAGCTTCTACAGTTGCTTCTCTCTCTCTCTCTCTCTCTCACACACACACACACACACACACACACTCTATACGTTGTCGTCTGTCGTCTCTTTCTTTCTCTTTCTCTCCTTTTCTTTCTTTTGTTGCTCTTCGCGGTAAGTGTTTTTGCAATCACCTTCTGGAAAAAGAAAGTGCGGGTTGCAATACAATATAAAAATTAAAAATGGAGGCTTTGGGGAACTGATATCATACTTGTCTCAAATAAACACTGAGAGAGAGAATAGAGAGAGAGAGAGAGGAAAGGGATGCGGTCGCTCTCGCTCTTCTTCGGTCTTCACCTCTTTAGTTTTTTTTCCCCCACCAATAATGTCTTTTTATATATACTTTTTTATCTTTATATTCTTCAATTTGACACTTATTTTTTATATCTATAATATAAAAGGTAATAAACTGCACGCAAAAGAAATATTCATGCCTTCGAATGACCATAATAGCCTCATCTTATCTACACAACAAGAATTACTAACATAATAATTGTTCGAATTACAAGTCAAAGCAAAGGGATCCCCAACTGACGTTTTCTGCTAAATCATGATTACGATGAATTTAACAGATTAGGGATTTGTATGTATATACATTTTTCATCTTTCAAGGAATGAGTTTTTACAGAAGAGAAATACAGAAGTCGTACTATTAAAGATCATTATTTGCACCGAAGATTATAAATGTACATGCGAATAAAATCCTCCCATGTTAAGAATATATGAGAAGATGAGGATCCATTTTATTTTTATCATGTTTGATTAATTTTATATATGGTGTTAAGGAAATGAGCACAATGTCATCACAAGTATTGGCTTTTATTGTCATTTGAATACGTCCTTTGGAAACCAACGCAAACTACGGAATAAAATAAAGATAAGGTGAGTACAAAGTCATCTCAATGATCCAAACTACCACCATCCCTTTTTATACGGTGGAATGACCATAATGCCCTGGATAATCATTGCAAATGGCGCTGAGCCCCCTTAGTTGGTAAGGATATTTAGGTCATCTGTGGCGCTGCAAATTCATTTAATAGCACAAGTGAAGTAAGACAGGGGAAGAGAGATGTTAGAAATAAGGGATGCTACACGAAGTGGATGGATGGCACGTGCGAGTGGATGGGCAAAATAGACAAGTTAGGTTTGTGTGGGAGAAATAGGGTCTGAAAAGTACCCATAACCGCTTTAAGGTTTGGCACTGTCACTATGCACATGTTCATTTTCCCTTTTGGTGTACCCTTTTATTTTTACAGGTGTTTTTCATGTTTCACCTTCTTTAACTTATCATTAAGGTTAAATAAAATATATTACATTTATTTTTAATTATATTTTAGACAAGTATTTAATTTGATTTTATATGTATAATTATTTTTATCATATATGAACCATCACATTTTAAAAATCATACAATGTTACTATAACAAATACATGCGTCACATTTTTTTAAATTTTTTTTCTTTATTTTATTGTGTTATGTGATTTTAACAGAATGTATTATAAGAATAAAATTAAAATAATAATGCAATAAAATTAATTAATTATTATCGTAGAGATTTCCAATCATTTCTTAAGTTGCCTTGAAGCATCACTGTACTCTCAAGAAAAATGGTACTTGTGCCTATAGAAGCTCGACTATACTTATTTATCTATGTAGCTTAAATACATTTCTAATTGATTTATATTATGATTAATGTGACACTTTAGTCTCTTAGTATTTTTTTTTTCAAATTTAATTTCTTAATTTTTTTTATAATAACCAAGTCCTTCTATATTTTTTTCACTTTTATATCATTTTCTATATATATCAAATTAATCTAAAAAATCCAGTTATATGAATAAAAATGAAAATTTAAGGATTTTTTTAAAATAAAAAGTTATAAAAAACTTAATTATAACAGTTAAAGATTTTAAAAATTTAACTTCAATAAAAATTTCAAATTATACACTAATTATAATGGAGGAAACAAAAATACAATTAAACATATACTATACTTATAAATTCATGAAAAGACATGGATATTATATTTGCTGGTAACTGGTAAAATATATGAAGGAAAACACTTACCAATAACTATCTTCTTTCTTACTGCATATGAATATCATATCTGTAAAAGCGCTTTGATTTTTTTCATATAATTTATATAATGTTTAAATATTAAAAAGTAAAAAATAAATAAAAACAATTTTAAAAAATCATAAAATATATACGAATCATGATATTGATAATAATTCAATATATTACTTCTATTTTACTTCGTGCTTTTAGGATAATATTTTTATCCAAACTTAACGACTATTTACCAAAAAAAAAAACCAAAAAAAAAAAAAAAACTACCATAGAGAGAAGAACGACTAGTTGAATGGATTTGGATGTAAATATGAATATTTATATAAGAAAAATTGTAGATAATTGCGGGAAAATTTCATAAAAGTTATTTAATATATGGAATTTAAAATAAAAAATATTACACTTATAGCTTTCATATCTTATAATAAGTTGCAACTAACAATAATATTTGTGTCGATATTTTCATAAAAAAAAAAAAAAAACTCTACATCCTAATCCTCACTATTTAATTGACACCTTTGAATCTTCGTGGCTATGCACTTGTGCCGTTAATTATGATTTCATCTGTATCTAGTTGAGAAGCAATTGCTAGTCAAGATTTCATAAGTTAGTAAAAGTAGATTTGAATTTAGTTAAATCATTCTGTTCATTACAAACATTAGCCATACATTACTTTTATAATTAATTATTTTATTATATTAAATGCAAGTTTAAATAAATATTTTGTTTATCTTATTTTATAATTAGAACATAAAAAATATTTACATTGAAAAACCACAAATAATGAAACTGAATTTAAATATATACAGAATACAAAAAATAAATATTAAAATTGTTATCTATAAAAATATAGGCAAGTATGTTTTAACGGACATAGAGATACGTATTGCATATTCTGGCTGAGTCCTATTCTTTATCATAACTGTTAGCTTATGTCTAATATATATTACTGTACTAGCAACATTTTTGGTGGTTTATTTTCTCACAAATCATAAATTGTAATAGTTTGTTCAATTAATAACGAGAAGACATCAGCGTGTACAAATTAGTAATAAAGAAATGTCTACTATCTGCAATTTTAATTAGCGTCATAGCAAATTGATACTAACAAACAAGTAGTATTCAATAACTATTGTTTTGAGTTCGTACGCGGATATGCTCCAGTAATGCTGCTTTTATATCTAATTTATGGTAACATAGGGCTAACTCTCTTATCATTTTTGGCAAGCATGTACTAGAGAGCTTATTTTGACTTTTGTAAACATTATACATGATTATACACGTCTTTTGACGTTCATAGCAGTCCCACCCAATCAAAGAAAAAAGAATAGCTTAACCACTCCATCATCAATTTTATTAAAGAAACGTCGACTCCAACTATTTTGAAAAATAAAGAACTGAAAATCACCTATTTTGTGAAGCCAATATGAAGAAGCTTTTGATTCCAAGCAAGAGAAAGTAATTTCAATTCATTTATTTTCTTAAAGCCAAAAAAATAATTCCCTCGTTATTATCTACAAAATTAATATCTAGCTATCTGGCTTTTCTCAATTTGCTTAATACTTTCTGTAAGAAAAAAACAGCTAAATATAGCATCTAATTAATATTATGAGTGGCCATTATTTAAAGTTGCATATTATTTGAGCTTACGTTCTATTAAATGATATATTACTCATGCATGTCATGATTCTTGATCATGCATTTTTGTTATAATTTCAAACAATTTGTTTATTTAATCTATATTGTTAAAATTTTATCTGAGTTAAATCATTTAATATGTAGATCATTTTTATACTCAGAAAAATTGTTTTAATCTTTTCCTAATTTATTTTTTTTAAATTTGGTTAAATTTAAAAATAGTTGTATGATATGCAACAGATAATTAATAGTTGAAAACATGTTTCCGTATACAAGAAAAGAAAAGTAGTTATCAAATTTCTTTTAATAGCATAGGCAATTAGGAGGCACGCATGTGCTTTTTTGCCATGTGAAAATAAGGTGATGTTGCCATTCAAAATTCGTCTAAGTTCATACACAAGAAAAATCATCGGTTGGTGACTACATCTCATATACCATTCACCATATATAAAAAGCTGGAATCCTTTCACCCATAATTTGTTAATATCTACAGTGTATGGTGAACTCTCTTAGCTTAGATTTGAAGACATCAAGAAGACTAGCTAGGTAATAATAGATATTTATCAACACTTGATATATATTAAATAATTCAGAAAAAAGAAAACTCTAGCTAGGATCTCAACTGTTGCAATCAACCAGGCAATTAAAGACAAATTCGTCTTGTTTGAAAATATATTAATTATCAGTGTTTATTTTGGAAATGCGGGGTTTATTTTGTGTATGGTCCTCCATGTGTGTCTGTATTATAACGTCCCATATCACCAATACGAGTTGTTGCTCAAAGAAGATTTAAAAAACTTTAATTAAAATTCACAATTAGAGACGAACCAACACTTAATATAATGTTATTACAAGTAAGAAGAGAATTGCATGATTTGAATATTAATCCAAACAAACACGTATAATTACATGAATTAAATAAAGTGATTGACGTGTACAAACAACCTTAAATATAAGTGTAGACTTCCACAAGAATACAATATAGGTGAGCTTGCTATATCTCTCTCCTCCACATATATATAGTATAAATACATAGGAACCGTCAAATCTCTATCCTTAGGTATTATGGTTAGCGTTAACCAAACATAGTTTTAGAAGTAGAGTAAAGATTGTCTCTATTAGAAAGTTGAATTATATTTAAAAAAATATATTAAATTACGAATAATAATTGACGTTTGTTTGTTTGCTTGAAATATAAGTAGGATTATGAAATACGGAAATGAGAGAAAGTGGGAATGGCAATCTATGAAATACAACTAACAAGTAGCTATGCCTAGCTAGCTCGTGCAATCTTAAGACACCAAATTACTACTCATTACTCAAACACTCAATTGAAAGGAGGAAAACAAAACACTTTTCTTTTCTTTCGCCAACTGCAAACCGGAAGGACAATTGACAGCTCAACTTTCTTCTTCACTTCTCCTCTATCTCCCCCCCAACTGTACGTACGTCTTTTGTGAGGTCACGTGATTCCCACACTCCCTCACACGTACGTACGTTCCATCCCTTTGCTTGGGCCGGGGCCCATTTCATCATTGCCAAAACCTAATTATCCCCTTATATCCTCCACTCACGTGCCAAAGTCGGCTACGCACGTGTCTTTAATT